GATGCTGATGTGGTCGTCTGGGATCCAGAATCAACAAGGTCTCCAAAATAATGAATTCAATTCAAATCAGCTGAGAATTTAAAACACATTTCATATAGCAAGTATTGTAAAATAAAATGAAATGGTTTTGTGTGTCCGTAGGACCATCTCTGTGAGCACTCAATGGCAGGGTGGAGATGTAAATCTGTACGAGAACCTACGCTGTCACGGCGTCCCTCTGGTAACCATCAGCCGCGGTCGTGTGGTCTATGAAAATGGCATCTTCACCTGTGCTGAGGGCTCAGGAAAGTTCTACCCTCTCCGAACCTTTTCAGACTACCTCTACAAGAAAATGGTGCAGCGGGAGAAGGTACTCAAAGCACAACTCTCACTCCAGTAGATCATGTTTTTATTACAGTGTATCGCACAAACTGTTTGTTTGTGACCCTCTTCTCTCAGTGTCAAGCACTCAAGGGGGTGGAGCGTGCGCCCTACACTGGAGATGTAGCTGCAGTGCAGAATTCAGGGAAAAAGGAAGTGGGCCCTTCAGATGGGGACATGAACCCACGACCCTGCACGCGCCACGGGGGAATGAGAGACCTACATGAGTCCAGCTTTAGTTTGTCTGGTACAGTAGTCTGCATTAATGAATACTTTCCGTACCCACTGTGTATATATATATATATATATGTGTATATATATATATATATATATATATATATATATATATATATATATAATTAATATAAAATTGTGTAAATCTAAATTTTAAAATAATATAGAAATATATAATGTGAGTGAAAAATACATGAATTTATAAACTATGTAAATGTGTTTATTTACAATTACAGTTTATGTAACCTGTGTTGCTCAACAGTCTTTATTTTTTGCTAGGTACCCAAATTGATGAAAATGTTCCAAAGAGGGCGTCCGCGAGGATTCTGGCACCACCCGGTGGTCGTTCTAGTGGAATCTGGTAACATTTCGGATCAACAATTGCGCAAGTGTGCAACTGAACACCTACATTTTTGACAACCTCACATCTGATGAAAATTATTTCATTTGAATCACCTGCAACTAAATTCCTGTGTTTTTTATATATATATACTGTATGTGTGTGTACACGAGGGGGAAAATATATTTGTGTGGAAATTGGAAAACAAGGTATACGTTGGAAATAGTTGTAAGAGATTTGGTAATCCAAAATGTTACAGGGTGTTTTGTCCTTCATATTCAGTCAAATGAAATAGTGAAGGATGTGTTCAAATGCAACACTGTTGTAGTGCTAAATAAATGACAGATCCTTTTACTAATTGTTTTTGTTACCACATTCACAACAGTACGTTTTACGTAAGCTGCCGTTTAACCCATTTTAAAGATAGCGACTGCAAAGTTGTTTAAGAATGGGAATGTTATTAGTTTGTGTATTTGGTCATGGCTTGAAAATGTGAACCATTGTAAAGTTATTTAATATTTTAACTGTTTTAATGTGTTGGCAGATGACTATACATTTACCTCAGTGTTTATCTCTGGAGTTACACTTTAGCACTCTGCCTCTCTACACTTACAACTCTTACAGTGACCAATTGGCAACACTTTCTGACAGCAGGTACAAACCAACTTTTGCTTTGTGTCGAGGTGTTAATATTTGTTCTTATTTTTATTATCTTATTTTTAACACTCAAAATTTAAAGGCAATACAAGATATTTGATTGTTTCTCTGTCATATCTCTGTTTTAGTTCATGACACAGGTCACTTGTATTGCTTATACATTCAAAAAAGTAATTTATAAGAAGCATTTCAATTTTCCCAATGTCGTTTAGAAGCACATGTACCTGACCTTCTAAAATGTGAATTTAGAATAACATTGTTTACAATGTTACATATCAAATTTAGCTGTGTAACTAATCTAAAAATGTATTGATCTTTCATTTTTCGCTGACCAGATTTTCTTTTTATCCGCTAAGTCTACAAGTCACACACGAGTTATTCTTCATAACAATAGCATCATTTTTGCAGTGTAGCTTTATGTCTATTCTAGAATTAACTGTTAGCCGAACACTGAACTGTAACGACAGTTGAATTCCATCAGTTGTTCACTGAACATTAAAGGGTTATTTCACCCAAAAATGAAAATTAGCCCATGAATTACTCACCCTCCTAGCATCCTAGGTCTATATGACTTTCTTCTTTCAGACGAATCCAGTCGGAGTTATATTAAAATTGACTTTGATCTTCCAAGCTGTTTAATGGCAGTCAGCGGGTGTTGCAGTGCATCAGTCCAAAAGAAGTGAAATAAAGCACATCCATCTATAATAAAAAGTGCCTCACACGGCTCCGGGGGTTGAACAAAGTCCTCCTGTAGCGAATCGATGCGTTTTTGTAAGAAAAATATCCGTATTCAAAATGTAATAATCACTTTAATGTAGCTTGTGCTCACTGTTGTACACGGAAGCAGCTCCGGGCTGATGACGTATGAGGTCGGCTTTGCGCATGCAAAAGTGAAGTGCACTCAGAAGTGACTAACGCAGAAGCGCAGCGGAGAGATCAAAACAAAACAACGGTCACTTATTAGAAGTACAAAACGTGGATTTGTAAAGAAGAATGTCGGAGGATTTCGATATAAGCCAAGAGGAGACTGGTTTTCCTTTGCTAAAGTAAGGAAACTTTGCTTCTTTTGCTCCTGTTAACAAACGTTGGTTTTCACGAGACTCACCGGCGCATGCGCAACGCTGACATCTTACGTCATCAGCCATGCTGCAAGCTTCTGTGTACAACTGTTGGCACAAGCTAGATTAAAGTGATTATTACGTTTTGAATATGGATATTTTTCTTACAAAAATGCATCGATTCGCTACAGGACGCCTTTGTTCACCCCCCGGAGCCGTGTGAGGCACTTTTTTATTATGGATGGATGCGCTTTATTTCTCTTCTTTTGGACTGATGCATGCAACACCCGCTGACTGCCATTAAACAGCTTGGAAGATCAAAGTCAATTTTTAATATAACTCCGGTTGGATTCATCTGAAAGAAGGAAGTCATATACACCTAGGATGGCTTGAGGGTGAGTAAATAATGGGCTAATTTTCATTTTTGGGTGAACTATCCCTTTAACACTGTGCATTGGTGACTATTGATCTGCATGTTCCAAAACAAGTCAGAAAATTTCTGCCTTGTTTTCTGATCAACACTAACCAACCCTGTTAAAAAACACCAGACATCTAATTGAGGCATGTGTTCTTTTTGTACATGTATGTCTAAGCACTTGAAGACCTTCTGTAGAGACCACAGTAACTTTAGCTGTACAATGTTCCAGTGACACAAGCAGTAGAATGGCAAGAACATTTCTGTTGGTGCTGAATATTCATGTCTTTTTTTTATTCTGGATTTTCAGTATGCTTTTCAATTTTTTTATATGAGCTGTGTATGCACTACAGTTGTACGTATTAACGTATCATGTTTATCTCATGAAAAAGTGCAAATAAACTCCCTTCAACCTCATGACTGCATGTATCATTGAATAAAATGCAACATAGAATATTTATATACATGCTTATAATATTTACCAAATACACTTTATAATTATGTTATTAAATAACTATAATTCATTAGTAGTAAGTTAAGTTATTTCAGTCATTTTAATATATTTCTTTTACAGTTTTTTCAACTGCTTACACACAAAATCTTTACTTGTCACACAATTTCTGAAACCTGACACTCTTAACACCAGAACCACCACACCAAATCTGCAAAACTACTAATTCTCGGCCTTTGACTCAGTTTTCAATTTCATAAAACACTTTTTTTTGCAAAACACAACACACAATTCTCTATGTAACACACAAAAACCTAACAGGAAGTATCTTGATTTCCTTTTTCAAACACAACCAAACGAAATGCCAAACATTCACCAGTGCCTCACACACTAACTCCTCACATTTGCTTTACTTAACAGCAACCAATCATGGCTTTAGAATAGGCCTGAATACACAACTACACATGGTTGATGTATTTCTTTTCTTTTGTACTGTGTAACACGGTATTCACAACCACAAATGCTTAGAGTAAAGAAAAAAAGTTTGGTTTCAATCTTGCTTTTCAACATTTTTCAATATCTCTCTCTGCCAATTACTTTCAATCTTGTACAGAGGAGCTCATAAAAGAAGAGCTTTAGGTTTGGAATAACTGTGTATATGATAGATCCAAAAATATAATATGGCAAAGGTGTTTGCAACGTAAGACATATGTTTGCTTTTGAGACTTTTTTGTGATATTTTGAATGCAGAGCTGCATTTTGCTAGAGATGGGAGGCATTTTGCATTTTGTGTGTGCAATTCTTTGATTTGTGTGTAAAGTTTTGAAAAAAAGAAGCAAAGGTTTGAAAATGTGTGTAAGCTGTTGAAAAGCTGTAATACATTAATATATTATTTTAATATATATTATATAATGTTTTAATTACTAAGTGTATGTGTGTGTGTGTGTGTGTGTGTGTATATATACAGTATATATATATATATATATATATATATATATATATTTCAATCACTTTAAACTTTTGCTTCTTTGAATAATTTTAAAGAAAATAAAAATCTAATTTATAGGGTATATTATAATAGCTTTTTAATGTATTTTTATTTTAAATGTTTATGTGTTTTTTTTATCGTGCCTCTTCAATCACTTTGACCTTATTTCTAAAATGTTTCAAGCTTAAAATTGCCTAGAAATGTGTTTATTTTGAGCTTTTCTCCTACCTATTATGTGCAGGATTTGTCAATCCTGTTGTCGTTATCACTGCAGCATATTTTTTTGGGACAAATACAGAAATAATATTAGTAAAGCTACAGTGTTTTCCGTTTATAATTTAAAAACGGAAACACACGGGACACAAACTGATAATAACTGTTATTCAGGTCTTCACAAAGAAATGCGTTTATAATGAGGGGCGGTGCGCATGCGCAGAGAAGGCCAGTTTGTTGCAGGAGCGCGTGGCGCTATTTGCCCGTAACTAGGCAGCAGCGCATATCTGGCAACCCACAGGAGAGCAGCGGATTGCATTCTGTCAGTGTAATCTCAACATTGGAAAGGACGCAGTCAAAATACAGTGAGTAGAATATTGTTAACATATTATAATTCATCGGTATTCTTAATAATGTAGGACATTAAATAGGCGATGTGGCCTCTTTTGTGTGTGTATTATGTGTTTATGGCTCGAGCGTGTCTGGTGTTGCTCATATACGGCGGCGGGGCCTGCAGAACTGTCACAATAATGGACCGTTTGTTCAGCGGACTCACATGTATTACATAGCACTGCAGGCTCCAGTGGGATGTTTTATAGAGCAAAACGCAATATTTATGTGCACATTTTGGCGTAAAGATAAAAAAGAGCCATATCAGTGATAAACAGCGCGTTAAAGGGCCTGTGTGACTTCCATCATGTAAGATACTGTAATATAGTTTAAGACGTCGTTTGCAGAAAATGATAAATAAACATGAAACTAATGCATATGTTTGTAATAATAACGAATATTACTGACATGACATAGTAAAACGCGCATAGTTTATCCAACTGAGGTAAAACAAGCAGGTGACCTGTCAATCTCTGCTGCATTTCTTCAGACGCAGCATAATACAATAGGCACCATTTTTTAATTATTATTAGGAGAAATACCATTTGTAGAGTGCCAATAGTCGTTTTCAACCAGTTTTTGTCTTTTACTGATTCTTGAGGTGTGAGGGGGGAAAAATACAGTACCTGTCATTCGTTTAAAATAGCAACTTTAATTGATTATGATCTGAGAATTACAATATTACATTGTATTGGTTTTATTAACTGCTCATTATATTTAAACGATTATATTATAAAATTATAAAACCACCTGTTCTCTGACTATAACTTAATATTATATGATTGACGATTAATAAGCGTATGATTAAAGTGCTGTATGTAACAAATGTACAGTAGCCTATATTTAAAATAAACGTTATTATTATTATTATTATTATAAGAAGGGGTTAATATAAATGCCTCCTTTATAAATACGTTTTCAAAGTTTTACCTCAAATTAAGCACATTAAGATATTTAGGAAAACATATATAATCAGGTCATATCATATTAATCATATGATATTTTATGTATCACACCATTAAATATCATATGATGTTATAAACCGTTATGCCACACACAAATTAGTATTTCTAAAATACACAAACAAATATGTAATTCTAAAAAAAATTTTACATTTGAAATAATATACTATTATCTTGCAAAAGCAGAAAAAAATGTTCAACCCTGTTGACAATTCAATCCATGGAGCTGAAACCATTTTTTTTAGTTTTTTTTGTCCCAGTACTCAAGAATCAGAGCTTTACAGACTTCACGCAGTGACATGCACATATATTGTGTCTCTGTAGAAGATGTGTGTGTGTTTTACAGATCTGTCTGCTGGGCGCACCAGATGTGCATGGTTAACAACATCTCAGAAACACTTTAATCTGGATGGATTATCTTTGAAGGATTGAAATTTATAGTGTGATTGCAATTTTACTCTGCAGTAGGGATGCACGATATATCGGCCACCATATCGGTATCGGCCCATATCGGCTCATTTTTTCTGTTATCGGTATCGGCCTGATAAGAAAATTTGGCCGATATCTTAAAGCCGATAAATAATGCATTATTTCCTTCAGAGACACTTCAGATGCGCGCTGTTCGTTTGCAGCCTTTTGTGCAATTGTACATTGTAATATTGTGTTTATTTGATGTATATCTGATTTATCTCATATAGAATGCGTTTGGTTAAGTTAAAAAGAGCGCTTCAGTTTACCGGTGATCATCTTTAGCTCAGCACACGCAGCCCAAACAGCAGTGCACAACATTAATAACTATGATTGGGAATGTCATGTATATAACATTCTAATGAGAACATTATTATAATAAAACGTTGTGAATTCTTTGGGTTTAGTTGCCGTGTTTCAGCGCGTTGTTATGGGAAGAGCGCATCCACAACAGGATCACACATTCTGACTATAGCACGCAATAACTGCATAATTTTGTACATATATAAGTTGTAATATTATGTTTATGTTGTATTAATATTAATCTCAGGATGCATTTCCTTGAGTTAAATAAGCTGCCAGCAAAACGCTTCAGTTTACCATGTTCATTCAGCTCTTCAGCTTCAGCACGCGCAGCTCAACGGCTGCTATTTAAAACAGTGGTATTAATTTGTTACTTTTTCAAAATCATCGATACATTATTAATAACAACAACCACTTGTATTGTTCTCTTATTATTTTCATCAACAATATGGTTTAGTAATTAAAATCATTTAATTATTGTCCGTGCAGAGGCTATTCCGTTTTATTGATCTATGGCGCATTCATTTTGATTCTTTACACGTGTAATGATGTCCAGTGACTTGTTTGCATTATTTATGCATAATTTTATTTATTTGTAAGACTTTTTTATGACTAAATTTGGTAATGGGAGAGTAAAAATATTTTTAAAACGTACACCGTTCAAACTAGGCTGCTTATGTTGAAGTGTTTGGGATGTGGCTTTTAATGATGAGACCTTTTTTGTAATCAGGCTCTCAAAAAGTATATAACAATTTGGATATAGATTTATCGGCCAACATATCGGTTATCGGCTTTCAAAAATAAAGAATAATCGGTTATCGGTATCGGCCAAAATTTTCATATCGGTGCATCCCTACTCTGCAGTGATAACTGAAGAACAGAACTGAATAACACTTCTGATTAACCAAATAGAAACACATTTTTTCCAGACACAGTGACATATTCAAAGAATGTGTACGATACCATCTTTACCTGCTATCCTGTTGTCAACAATAAATTGTAAATAATATATATATATATATATATATACAGTATATATATATTTATGTAGTCACAGATGCCGTAAGATTTCAGAGTATTACAATGAAGCGCATTATGTACACAGTGACTTTGTTCTTTTTTTTCTTTGTAGGAGATGGCAGTGAATGTATACTCCACATCAGTAACAATTGAGAACCTGAGCCGACATGACATGTTGGCATGGGTGAACGACTCCCTTCAGCTCACCTACACCAAAATAGAACAATTATGTTCAGGTGGGTCATACTGCCTTATTTCTCAAAGTGTTTCTGTCTTTTATATCATGAATGGCACTAGCATACTCCTATTTCTGCTCCACTATAGATTATATAACACTGCTGTTAATTTCACAATAAAAAGGCTTTTACTTTGCCTTTGATCATATATGCTGAGTGTTTGTATCTCTTCCAGTGTAATCAGTCAAATTAAAGCATTTACTTTGCACTCGACACTAATAAGGTTAACCAATCACTTGCATGCATGTTGATCAAAGACGTTTTTCTTTATTGTTTTTCATTCATGCAATGAATGAGCTTTATTGACCCATGTTCTCTTTTGCTCTTTGTCCTCAGGGGCGTCTTATTGTCAGTTCATGGACATGTTGTTCCCAGGGTGTATTCTTTTAAAGAAAGTGAAATTTCAAGCAAAGCTGGAACACGAGTTTATACATAACTTCAAAGTACTCCAGGCAGCTTTCAAGAGGATGAACGTTGATAAAGTTAGTTGGTCCTTTGGTGTATTTGCTTCTATGTTCATCTCACAGTTTTATTATAAATTTGTCTTTCACTTTTTTTTTTTTTACTTTACATTTTCAGCTTTTACTCTTTACTCATTTAGAAAGTGTAAACGAAAGCTTTCAGCTCATTTGTTAAAAAGTATAATCTACAATGACAATTGATTTTATTGAAGGCATGTTTATTAATATAGCATGTTTCATACACAATGGTCATTCAAAATGCTTTACAGAAATGTGATTATTACTAATCACAAATTCAATGAAAAGTAAAAAAAAAAAAAAAAACAAGTAAGAAATTATTTATTTAAAAGCTACTACCAAGGAAAGAACAATACTGAATACTGAATGCATAACAATACAGAAATAAAATTATACTGTCACACAATATTGTAGAGACAATGACATTGAAGGTAAAAGTTCCAAAAAAAGACTTAATAATATCAACAGTTTGATCCAAACATAAACAGGCAAGTAACACAACCATAACACGGACGACACCAGACAGGCAACTGAACTAAACAGGGAGTATAAATAAGAAGGAACTAATGAGGTAATTAATGAGGACACAGGAAAAGATAATGATAATCAAATAGAAAGAGAAACTAGGTCAACTAAGGAGACTGAACCAAAACACAACAAAGCAAAACTGTCACATATACAGTGCAATGAGTAAGGTCGAAGAAAAAAAGTTACTGCATTTTTGCTTGTAATTTTAAAATATAACTTATGTTTTGAACAAAAAAAAAAAGCAACCGGTAAGTATGAAAGTTAATGTATAATATGTCATTATTAATTAGGTTATAACAGTGTTTTTTGAACATTCATTTTTATGATCCATCCATTTACCATAGTATGAAGCTAATTAATATTCAATATAACAGACATCTCTAATAAAAATGAGAAGGAACTTTCATCAATATCAAACATCAGGCCTAGGTACACTCTTAAAAATAAAGATGCTTCACGATGCCATAGAAGAACCTTTTTGTCTAAATGGTTCCATAAAGAACCTTTAACATCTGAATAACCTTTCTGTTTCACAAAAGGTTCTTTGTGGCGAAAGAAGGTTCTTCAGATTATAAAAAGGTAAGAATGAGATGGTTCTTTAAAGAACCTTTGACTGAATGGTTCTTTGTGGAACCAAAAATGGTTCTTCTATGGCATCGCTTGAAGAACCTTTTGAAGCACCTTTATTTTTAAGAGTGTATTGCTTAACAGATCATTAGTTAAATAGTTATTAAAGTTTGACTTATACAGTATATTGATGTAGTATGCATTATACAGTATGTTTGTATATTTTTGTTTGTCAAATAATCAACCAGTCAGGGTGCTGGTTTTTGGTGTCGTTTGTCAGGTTATCTGAAAATATGACTTGAGACAAGGTGTCTAATGTTCTTTGTCAAATATGCGTTTGTGTTCTGTAAATTTCCTAGGATATGAGAAAAGATTTTAGCATAAAAATTACACCTCTAGCTTACAACTTAGTGTTATATTGATCTAATGATTTGTTTTCCTTTTGTTATCCAGATAATTCCTGTGGAAAAATTAGTGAAAGGAAAATTCCAGGACAACTTTGAATTCGTCCAGTGGTTTAAAAAATTCTTTGATGCCAATTATGACGGAAAAGAGTATGATCCCATTCAAGCTAGACAGGGCCAAGATGTGGCGCCTCCACCAAATCCAGGTGAACACTTTTCCCACAAACCCAAGAGAACTAGTCCCTCAGGTAACCTCGAGATTCTGCCGCCCCTTTGCTGCATTGATTGCTGAGCTTCTACTGATTGACAGCGTGCTCTGCAAAGCAGCTGGTTGTGCACGGGCCTCAGAATGATTTACTCCATGCCCAAGCTTTCATGAATGAGAAAACAATGAATTCAGCATTAAAACAGCTCTGTGTTGCTCTGTTAGTGCAGTACTAACAAACAGTTTTCCAAAATCAGTTCCGCAGTGTTCTCTCAAAGGGTCATTGCTTGCTTAGTGTCACTTCGGTCAGTCCTATTCAACCCTCAGTTCCTTCAAATTCTTTATTGGTCATTTTAAAGTTATCGTCACCTGAAATAAGTTACAAAAAAACATGCCTTTTATTTTAACCCTCTATTGCATGACATATAAAAGCAATTTTAAACATGAGTGAGTCAGTTTGCTTGCATAAAAATGGACCTCATACTAAAATCAAAAACAAAACAAAAAGAAATGGGAGGCAGCGCTATGTGGTGATAGAAAGAAATAAGTTCATAAAAATAAAACAAAAAAAGTAGAAAAAAATAGAACAAAAATAAAACACTGTTATATTACAGGAACTCTTAGAACTGGCTTCTAATAGTTTCTAATGATTAATTTAGCTATTTAAACACTAATGTAAATTCTAAAAAATAAAATGTTATGTAAAAAAAATTTTGTTAAAGCAAAAAAGACACTACTGTTCAAAAGTTTGGGGTCAGTAAAAATACCTTTATTTTTATACATAATACTTAACATTTATAAATATGAAATGTTTCTAAACAGCATATTATAATGATTTCTGAAGGATCATGTGACACTAAAGACTGGAGTAATGGCAGCTGAAATTCAGTTTTGCCATAACTGGAATAATTTACATTTTTAAATATATTAAAATAGAAAACAGTTATTTTAAAGCCTTAGGTGGGAACTTTTGATCATTAGTGTACAAATTATTTATGAACTCTTTTAAAATGAATTTTATTCACTAATAAATGTAAATCGTATTTTTTATAGGTGAAAAAAATGCTTTTTGAGGCAGAGCATAATGTTGAGCACAAGGATGTAGTGCTACCAAAAAACTACTTTAAATTATTTTTTTTTTATTTAAAGTCATCCCTTCATTAACAACCCTTTATTGACATCTTTTGTGCTTAAAAAGTGATGAAAAAGGGTTACACTGAGGCAAAATTGCACAATAGAGGGTTAACAGCCAAGTACTGGAAACATAGAATCCCCAGAGAGGTACAAAAGTGGTGTCCTAATTTGCTGACAATTGACTGCTTTTGTGATCGTTGGGGTGGATTGGGAATGTGACCTCCATTTAGTTTGTAGTCACATCTCGTCATACTTGCCTGACTTTGGTTAAACCTGCCAGATATAAAGTGGATAATAGGCTTTTGGAACAGTTAATGTTTGATCACACACAGGCTTAACCAAAGTAATGGGGTAACAAGCAGCCCATGCTGTAGCTTGTTAAAGGCTGATCTTACTGAACCTCTTCTGAAGCTCATTTTAGTGAATCATTAGCTCTGTTCAAAAACCTAGTGAGCTGCCACCTTAGACTGCATTTAAAGGAATAGTTCACCCAAACGTGAAAGTTTGCTGAAAACGTACTTATCCTCAGGCCATTTAAGATGTAGAGGAGTTTGTTTCTTCAACAGAATTTTAGCATTACTTTAAATTTAGAAATTTAGTATTACATCACAGGCTCACCAACGGATCCTCTGCAGTGAATGGGTACCATCAGAATGAGGGTCCAAACAGCTGATAAAAACATCAGTGCACAACTTCATTCCAAAAATGTATATCTTGTGAAATGTTTGTAGTAAACAAATTCATAATTAAGATGTTTTTAACTTCAAACCATTGCTTTCGGCTAGGTCCTCTATCCATAATATTGCTTTCTCCAGTGAAAAAGTTGTCTCGTCTGAATCAGGAGAGAAATGTGCACAAGCTTAGTTTACAAGCAAAAACAGTCCTAAACAGTTTTATACAAATACTGTATGTCAGTGGATTTTAATGTGAGAGGACAACAGGGGAATGGCTTTTTCAGAGGAGGAAGCATTATTAAATTTCTCCAAATCTGTTCCGACCATGTATTGCATGAGGGTGAAGTTTTCATTTTTGGGTGAATTATTTCTTTAAAGGCATCATAAGCTCACTCTTGAGGATGGTCAAAAGATTGGGCAGCAAAATTATCTTATGCAATTCTGGCCAAAACTAGGTATTGTATGTTTATATGCTGTATATGTGAAGGCAATTCCAAAATACAATTTAGTAAGCTTCCTAAAAATATAAAAATAACTGTTCGCAGGCAGAATTCAGAATTGACTGTTATTTGAGCTCTCATGAAGAGTTCTGTTTGTGGGATGTTTCAGATCAGTCACTTACAGTATGAGGGGCCATTTTGGCCCACTATGGTATGGAACAGAGCTTAATGTGTTTAAAGAAGCTGATAGAAATGACAAAAACCTAAAATTGCATGGATTAGTTTGTACATTTACTGAACAGATCCCATTTATTGTAACTAAATGCAAAACATCTCCAATTTCAGGGCCTCAGAGAACATCGCCAACAGTACCTAAAAACATGCCCACACCACAGAGGGTGACCACCACCATAAGGAAGAACCCCACACATGCCCGAAATGGGGGAAGTGATGCTGAAATCATGGAGCTTAATCAACAGGTAGAGTCCCCGGGAGGGTAAGGAAGACTTACTCTACCTTGGAATACTTTCGATTGGAGATTGTAGAGAAATTGAATATAAAGAAAGTGTTGTCAGATTTTGCATTTGTCATTTTTATCTTTCTTTTCTCCCATTTTCCTCAGATCATTCCTTATCTTCTATCCCACATATTTAAATAATTGCATTTTATTTGATATTCTTCTATGTCTGGATGTAGATTGTCTTATCATAATAGGCATATTGACTTTTTCCCAGTAAGGAATGGTCATGTTCTTATGAGTAGTATCTTACAATTTGTTCTTTGTCTTTTGCTTTGTTTTTTTGAAGTTAATGGATCTGAAGTTAACCGTAGATGGTCTGGAGAAGGAGAGAGATTTCTACTTCAGCAAACTTCGAGACATTGAACTGGTCTGTCAAGAAAATGAGACTGAAAACCACCCCATTATCAGTAGAATAATTGACATTCTGTATGCCACAGAGGTACTGCCAATTACTTTTTATATCCGTTTTGATAATTATTTGACTGATATATCTGTCAGGTTGATTCATAATTGCGATATCAATTTGTATCCACTGTTGACCGTGTTCAAGTGACCATTGTTCTGTGAATTTTTGCACGAAATCCAAGTGGATTAACTTTCATACTTACCGGTTGCTTTTTTTTTTGTTCAAAACATAAGTTATATTTTAAAACTTTTTTTCTTTGACCTTACTCATTGCACTGTATATGTGACAGTTTTGCTTTGTTGTGTTTTGGTTCAGTCTCCTTAGTTGACCTAGTTTCTCTTTCTATTTGATTATCATTATCTTTTCCTGTGTCCTCATTAATTACCTCATTAGACCAACAGAAATTTGCTTGCTTTTTTTAAAGTGACTTCTGTGTGAGTTGTGCTTCATATGTCGCAACACTACTGACAATAGATAATTGATCCCTTTTTTGTCTGTGAAATTTTCTAAATTTGGAGATGGAAATACCAGAGTTAAAATTTCCCATTTTAGATTTCAGAGTGTGCCTGATGGCATTAGAAGAGTTCTAATGCCAGTTATGGTTAAAACACTTGAAAACAGCTGTCAATTATTACATTATAATCTTAATTTTGTAGTATGGTCATTAGTCACCACCATCTTGGAAGTCAAATTTTGAGCACCATTCAAGTTCTAAGCTGTCTGAATTGCAGCAAAATCTACTGATAATTCTATATGAATAAATGTGAAAAATGGCAAGCTGAGGCCTCAGAATCAGAATCAATTATTTGAAATGGACATGAAATGACTCTAGTCCTAATGCTATTGTCAGTGCTGGGTAGATTACTTACAAATTGTAGTCAGTTACTAATTACAGATGACATGATAAAATTTATCATGAATTACATGATAAATCGTGGCACTCTGAAAGAGCAGCCCATAGATGGAAATAGCGCAACCCCAAAACGCTATGTCTTGAGAAGTCATCAAGTCAATCTACGGCTATAATGCTGGAGTGGCTAGCAGTAAATCTGTAGCTGAGGGAGCAAAGATCCAGCTCTCAATCGAGAGGGAGGTCAACCTACAGCATGTTCCAGTGGTGGAACAGCTAGCAGTTATTTAGCTGAGGGAGCAACACATCCAGTTCTCAATTCGAGAAGGGGGCTCGACCTGCATCAGGTTCCAAAGCTGGAACAGCTAGCAATAATTTACTTAGCTGTGGGAGCAACACACCTAGTTCTCAGTCGAGAAGGGGGCTCGACCTACAGCATGTTCCAATGCTGGAACGGCTAGCAGTAGTTTACCTTGGCTGAGGGAGCACAAACCCAGCTCTCAA